GGGCCCTGTTTCCTTTGTCCGAGTTCGGAGACCCCAGCCACGCATATAAACCATACGGCGCCGATTTCTGAGTCCCCGGCAGGCAGTGGTTAATGCAGGTCATAGTGCATTTGCGCACATTTTCATCGCAATGTGCACAAACCTGCATCAACACAGGGGTCCATTACCATCATAATAAACCAGTGTGCACTGTTTGTTTGTAATTTCATTGAAAAGATATGGGGCCTCTACTACAATACTGATCCATCATCAAAGAAATTTAATCCCTGTGTAGAAAACCTTAATTGACAGTGACGTCTAATGCGTTATTTCAGGTCTTGTATATAAAAGAGAACAAACTGGGTGTTACTTTTGGTCTTTGTCATTGTCTACATATTTGTGCTTTTCACATTCACAGGATAGCTCAGGCAAGCCCATCACACCAGAGGTCACTGACAACAATGATGGCACCTTCAAGATCATTTACACCCCCAAAGATGTGGACAGCTACACCATCAAGGTCAAATATGGTGGGGAACCAGTGCCAAAGTCACCCTGGACCGTGTCCACCAAGCCCACAGGAGATGCCAGCAAGTGCGATATCATTGGTGAGTAACGACTGGTCATGCCTTGTTGCTGTTAATCGTGTACAAGAAGAAAAAAATCCACAGCCAATCAGAGGGAGTATACTATGATTGCTTGGATTGGGACTGGAAGAGCTGATTCAGTCGGTTTTGTGTATTGGTGAGGAAAACTGAGTTTTGATTGGGTATCTGTGCTTTATATTGTATCATCGTTGGATACAGTACCCGGATGTGAATAGCCAGCACAGGTTGACTGAATGAGCTCTGTCGTTTGACAACTATTTTGTGTGACCCCTTGATAGGAAAGATGCGCATGTGGGACTTGAATAATCAAGTTTGTGCCATCGCCAGCCCTAGAAACCAACCCCACTACACTCTAAAGGACACAGAGCATTTTTTTAGAAGCTTATCCCATACTCGCCTAGACTGTAGACCTAACCACTTTCTTCTGCCAAATGACATTGCTCCACCCTGCCTTAACCATGTGAGATGACCCGTAATTTTGGCTTGCAGGCGTCAAAAGTGGCAATTACGACATCCCCGTCCGGCGGCGTAGCGTTAGCTCTGAGAGCACCACCACAACACGAACCACGACCACCCGCACTACGACAACAAGTAAGGGACACCCTGCAAGAAGCGGCATGGCAACCAAAACAGAAAAAATAAAGACTGAAATAACTTCCCTCAAAAGAAGGCAAAGAAAAAGCTGGCTTATCGTTGGGTTCTGCCACAAGATTGTGCACTATGATGCAGTGGATGGATATGTTGGGAAAAGTCACCATGCCCAAACCGAACCCATTCGTGTTTTATAGAATCACATCACAATGCACCGACTTAAATCAGCATCATGTCGACCGAAGATGCTTTTATGCAGAGTCAGTGAGTTGCTTGAACAGAAGGCAAACCAACGTATCCATCTGCAGACCTCACCTTCTCCTTCCCCCTTTTCCTCCCTCACCTTATCTCTTCCAACCACCCAAGTCTCCCCTCCATCCGTGCATGGCATTTTGTGCATCTGGAGAGGTTTAGGCAGCGTATTGAAAACAGAAGAGCAGTTTTCAGATCAAAATAGTGTGCAGCAGAAGAGTTTGCACAGCTATTCTGAATGCTGAACGAGAAAGTTTGAGATTGTGATGTCATTACCAATTATCAGTAAGGCCTAAAGATGGCCTGAAAAGGTTAACTCAGTCTGAATTCAAGTCCAGCTCCAGCGCAACTCAAATTTCAACATGCAAATCATTTTCACTAGCTAATCATCAAAAACACTTGTCTGGTTGGAAGTAGCTACAGAGCTTTTAAAATTGCAACCCACCATTCAAAAACCAAACTGAAGGCTTATTAGCAATTATCTGATTGCCAAAATAAACAAGTGAACAATGCAAATTCTGCAATTTTATTGCCCATTACTATCAAAGCTTTCTGCTAACAAAATGTTCACTGCAGATTACTTTAAAGTTAACAGATTAAACATTTGGGAGAGCACTATTGTCAAAACTTCTGTTAACTAAACCACTTCAGTCTGGTCCTGGAAGTATTTGGTATTGTTCTGAAATGAATGGCTGTATGCTCTTCTTGTTTTTTTTCCTTCAGATTTATATACATTTTTTTTTGTTCCTTTACTAATCTCTTCCTGGTTTTAACAGATACTAGGTCTTGTCACAGCTCCGATGTGCAGCATGCAACAGCTTGACTGCTCTTCCCGTTCTGTCAAACTTACTAACATGTTTTGTTTTACATTGTTGCCTTATTTATTTCGAAATTGTAGAATGCACTTTTATCCCGAAGAGTGCGACAAGCACAAGGACCAGTAACTTGCACAATTTAATTTGGAAGAAGCATTTTGTAATAACCCATGATTTTGTTTTTGACGACAAAAAGCATTGAAGTTGTCGGCCAGCAGTTGAAGATAACTTCCTGATGCAGCCTTTTCCCATAGCTCTGATGTGCAAAATTTAATCAAGAGAAAAGTTTTTTTCATAAGCTGTTTTACCATCCCTGCTGTGCAGACAAAATGAAAAAAAAAACAGTGGTTGGAATTTGAAGGCCTTTGGACATTCTGTAAAGAGATGTGAGGGGACTACTCTTATCAAAGCTAGAGTGGGTTATTTTCATGGATTGTGAATTCCAGTACAGAATTTTCCCTAAACCCCAACCAAGGTTACTAAAAAATCAAAGTTAACTTCATGAGCATAGTTTTAAGAGATTTCTGTGTCCTTTTTTTGCACTATTAACACCATTCACTGCATCTGCAGCATGCCCAGATTGCTCAAGTTGTCCTTGGTGTATGCGTGTTGTGTACATGGTGAGTGACAGCAGTGGTTCATGGTGCCCACTGCATACTTGTCACCCAGTCCAAATAAAAGTTGGTGTGTTCTGTTTGCATCCCGAATGCTTGATGAGGGTTTAGTTGCAGTTTGACCTCAGTTATTCAGTTCAAAAGGAGATTGCTTCTTGCCTGTGTTGATGAACAAATGTAAAAGTCTGAGGTACCATTTAATGTGGTGTTAACACTCTGTTCCTGAGAGTGTAATATAACCTTGTAACACCAATTCCGTAGGTGGTGAAGGGAACTATCAAAACAGTGGTATGAATAGTCATCTGATTCCATCGCAGTTCAAATTTAATTATGAAATGGTTTTTTGATATTACTATCCTGATTTTCATGAATGGTATAATGAGACAAGGTATTTTCACTAAGTCATTGACTAATTTTTTCCCTTTGTTACATGGTTGTAAACAAAAGTTATCTTTATAAGTCATTGCGCATATTGAGCATCATAAACACAGTGTGCTCTGGTTATTTAAGTTGCATGAGTTGTGATACCCTGTCAGTTCGTTGTTAAAGGTTACAAGCCCATTTTCTCTACCCGTGATGCAACAGGAGAAACAATCACCAAGACTGTGGTTGTGGAAGAGGAAACGGTCATCAAGGTCAACTCGCGCGATGCCGGAAAGGGTCACGTGACCTGCACGATTGTGGGCCCAGACGGGCAGGAGGTGCCCGACTGTCACGTAGTTGATAACGGCGATGGGACCTTTGACATCATCTGGACATGCCCCGCCCCTGGCACCTACAATGTGGACATCAAGTTTGGAGGCGTGTCGCTGACTGGTGGACCCATCACCATCAGCGTAAGTAGACCTTGCCATCATTCTCAAACATTTGCAGCCAAGGGAGAGGGGGGCAATTCCACTGCACTCTTAAGTCCTAACTGTACCAGATCGGGCATGTGTAAAAGTCTGATGCATTTTGCTGCAGTGAGAAGTCAACAGCAGCAGCACATACTACCCATGTTGAAACAGTGGGAGCTAGTGCCATCGGACTATGTTGGATCCTGAGATGGCTGACAACCACAACCTCCCGGGCCATTAGGCCTTGGAGAAAGTTGACCTGTTGGATCTTGCTGCACCTTGCATTCAAGTGCCTCTGACATATTATACTGCAGACTCATGCTGTAATGCTTTGAGGGTTGGTAATAATGGGCAACACAAAAAGAACGGTTCTATTGCAGTTTTACAGAAGCCAAAGGTTTTAAATCATAAAAATATTGCTATTATGTTATGGTGGAAAGTGCTGAACAGTTTCAGGAAGACTGTGTATGTCCAAATAAAGGGTTTAAACTATAAACTACAGTGGTACAATTGAAAGTCTGAAAAGTTTGTCTGCATGGAGAGGATGTGTATCAGTATGCAGGCACACATACATGTACCTTCTGTATGAGAGCAAAGTGCACTTTCTTACTGAAGACCGATGAAGCACGAGTACCCTTTTGGTAGATTTGGCGTCGAATTTTGTTGAGCAAAAGGCCCAAATTGTGTCCTCAGAACCTCATCAGGAGCCTACACATGAGCATATTCCCTGCTTCCTTGATCCCTTGATAAAATTTTGTCGACGGCCTGGCAAAACCCATCTCAGTAAAGCGCTTAGTTTATTGAATCAGGAGCACAACTTTACAGTGTCAGGAATATCACAAAGCCTTTGTGAAGACTGTCTGCTCTGTATCAGTTGCAGATTATGGCTTCCTGCAGTTATCAAGACAGATGGATCCAATTACCCATCATCCTTTGCCAACGTAATTGGACCATCATTTTCCATTCCATGCTGGGCACATAATTTTTTTAAAGGGTGGGGCAGAGTTGATGGGGGGAAAGCTAGGGGGAATCAAGCAGGAATTGTATTGTTGCATGTACATGTACTGTATTCCCTAAAAAATCAAAGCATTCTTTATTAGTTGTGGACAATAATCACACCAATTCTTAGCGTCTGTCTTTGAAATGATTTGCCTCATTTTAAAGTAACCCTGTAAGCTTAACTTCCACATTTCCAGCTCTCTCTAACTCCCTGGTTAACATGTATAGTTTGCTGAGTGAACCTCACCGTAATTGATAGTAAACATTGATGAAGAATTTATGTCTGTTTGCGGAACAGACTCGTATGGGTGTTGGCGTACATACTGGCAAGTCACAGGTTCTTTCATATGAAACCCTAAGGCAAAAACACAAGAACAGTGAACTCTGCTTACATCTTTGTTGGCACTGCTACTCGTAAATCAGAGACAAGAGTCATCAAAACTACTTTGTTCAATTTGTACACTTTACAGTCATTGAATTTGTTGAGAAAAGTTTACTGCCCACACTCAATTTTAACTTAAAACAACACACCCAGTTTTTATCCGCTTATTGTATATAGTCTTCAGAAGGTGAAACCCAACTCAGCACCAGGACAAATTAAATCAAATCGCTAATCAGACCCAGTGTTTCTCTGTTCACATCCAGAGGCTTATGAATTTAGTTAGGAATTCAGCCCGAGGCAGGAGTTAGGATTGGACATGTGCTGTACCACTTCAGTTTGTCTGGCAGTGTATTATTTTTTTTTCTTTTTTGAGGTCAGGCAAATGGATATGAGGTTGTTGATGGAAAAGGATGCCGGGGATTGTTTTAGAGTCACCAAGGGTCATATGATGTGCCTGTGGTTTGCGTTAATGTTTCTACCAAAATCTGAAATTACTAGCTGCAAGTGGAACCTTGGTTCCTGGTATAAAAACAGGTAACGAAGTTAGAAAAAGTAGTTTTTGCTTACTACATGTACATGTTCATCATTAGCTGTATGGCTCAGAATTGAAACAGTTTTAAAAGCTTAATCTGAGAAGACATAAAATAATAAGATACATTGTATCTTCTGATTTTCTGCATCTTTCTTAAGTTTAACCCCTTTTTGCAATTCTAGTGCATGCTGGAAACGCTGCTAAAAGTAGTAGGTAGCGATAATGTTTTGCTTTCTTAACTCCTGGGGAATTTGTTTCTGTTCAGAGGTTTTGCCTTTCACCTTGGAAATCACCCAGTGGTGTTGCAGATTTTACAGAGAGACTGAAAACGTATGGCCTGATATCGAGCAGTGGGTTTATATGTTATTCTGCATTGCCCTAACATATTTTCACAGAATTTAGGCATATGACATCTAAAGGGTACACTACATTTAACACTCTGAGTGAAGTGATTTTCAAATCACCATAAAGAGAAATGTTTGCAACTACTGTATATTCACTTCAGACAAAGATGTAATGCTTTTTCTTTTATTCTTTTTGTTTGGGGTTTTTTAAGGTTACCTTATAGGAGTAGCCAACTCACAGGGTACGATACCTCTGAAGTACTTAGGAAAAACCTGAGCCTTGTGGTCAACGTGCATGTATGTAGCTAAAACAATAGCATCTGCCATAACTGGGCTTACCTGACTGTACATGTACAATCACTATTTGAATATTCAACCTTCGATGTGATCGAATATCTGAGTATTCAGTAATACCAACCAGCAGATTTTTGATGAACAAACTATACACATAATCAGTTGCAGTAACAATCAGTTGTACATGTACATGTACATTATGATCATAAAATAGCTTCTCACATCTAGGAGTATCTGCAGCCATGACTTAGCAAGATTTAAGAGATGAACAAGATCTCTTTTCTTGTCCTGTTTAAAATTTCTATTTCTTTTAAATTGTTCAATGAATAATTTACTTTTTAAATCGTTGTAAGATTTCTGACACATTTCATTTGAATCTGCTTGAAACAAGCCTCCATAGTGCAATTTTTCTCATTTAAAACAAAAGAAAAATTTCCCTTCTCATGAAGTTTTACTCAAATTCAAAAATAATCAAATATTCAACAATAGATTGATACTCAGTTATTCAGATATTCGGGCACAGCTCCTAATATATGTCTATGTGGAAATGTTTAAAATGTACACATTCATGTGCACTTGGCTGGATGTCTCCTATTTAATGCCAAACAGATCTAATTTTAAACCCAGCTATAGCATGTGGTGAGTCCAGGAGATGCTGTGGTGAACAGTTCAGATGTGTTAATACCTATTGCATCATAAAAGCAGAGTGCTTTTGGTTAGGAGGATTATCCTACAGTAGATGAGCATTGTTGCAGATGTTCCGTCTCTCAGGTTCCTTATGGTTGTAATTTGGTTATCACTTCATCAGCAATTGCCACATTGCAAGTGCAATGCTGGATGTGTGGTTCTTTTGGTCAGCTGGCTTACTCATTGTATTCATTCACTAAATGGAAGTTAATTGCCACAGAAAAATATTTCTCTGAAAAGGCAATACTTTGATTGGACAGTAACCTAAAGATATCTACAAGCTATTTCAAGAAATGTCCAGAAATTGCCTGAGAAAAAGTTTAGTTGATTTAGAGTAAAAAAAGGCTAATGGCTTTGAAAAAAAAAGGCAATGCCACTTGAAGATCTTTAATTAAAAATGCACCAGAAAAGCTACATGTAACAAGTAATATGCACATTTTTCCAACTTTGCCAGATTGTCCAAGTTACTTTTATTATTTTGAATCTGACATGTATTTCCACTAGAAGAAGGCATACACAGTCCAAACATTTGGACACAGCCAGACTTTTTTCTGGAAAAAGTGACAATATTGGTAAGCTGTGATCTGAAGGAAATCTTGTGCTGAGATTCGCATTTATATTGCTGCCTTTGATTTTCTGCCAACACATCTTACAATTCTGTCCTCGATGGCATTATTTTAGGCATCCATTGGACAGCATAATCGCATTCATGCTCTCTAAACTGTCGTTTCTTGGCCTGGCATTTCAGTTATGCAACCCACACACAGCACTCAGGCCCATTTATGGAGATGCACGCAAGTTTGCTGGTACATGTGTTGCAGCTTCATGTAGGCTGGGCCCTGTAGGCATTCTGGTGAGGTAGTTCATCCAATTGGCTTGCTATCTACTGTAACCATAGCTCTGTCTGTAGAACTAACATTGAGGGATCTTTCTGGAGACTTGTTGGGGGATTGGGTCAAGATCAGCAGTGTTGTATTTTTGTCTTTGCTAGCGTGATTAATATCATGATTATCTGTGTCAAAAACCAATTAGTAAACAGATAGCCAGTGATAGTTAACAGTATTTAAGCTGTATCTTCTACAGTAATGGGAACCATGATTAAAGATCTTGATACATTTAAATAGGCATGGAGGGAAAGACTATGACTGGGCTAAGGGAGAAAAGGATCTGCATTTTGTTAACATCTGTCAAGGCAGTAGCTCTTTTTTGTTGCTTTTGATGACGTAGAAGGTGAAATGAACTGCCTATAGGTACAGGTTTATTCAGCTTTTAAACTTCAGATGATCCAGTTTCAATTATTGGAAGATAACAAGCAGTGTGCTTTGTAATTCATAGCAATACATCATTTCCAGGTGCAGTAATTGACATTTGTAATGACAGTTTAAGTGCGAGCAGGACTAATTATCTTTTTATTAGACCAATATTGTAAAGAGGTCTTAATCGGGATAATGTTTCATCAGTTTAAAGTTACATGTACATGTAATACCACATCAGGCGAACGTGACAGGTGTGTAGATCCACAGATTAATTTCAGTTCCAGTAATATTAAACCTTAGCCATCATCTGTAGGCTAAATTGATCAGTTGCGAAAGGGTCGGTCTGATTTTGTTGACCAGTTTATTTTGCCAGATTAGTTTAGGTGCAAGGAGTTTCTTGTCTCGCGTAAGAAGTGAGTTGCATTTGCACCAGAATGGTATTTGGGTTATTTTGATTAATTAGAGCATGTGTCTGTTTTTGTTTGCTTCCATTTCATGGTCAGACA